AACAAATTTTTATTTGAAATTTTAATTTAATCAACGTCTGAAATAATTCTATTCAACAAATTTTTATTTGAAATTTTAATTTAATCAACGTCTGAAATAATTCTATTTAACAAATTTTTATTTGAAATTTTAATTTAATTGACATCTGAAATTAATTTTGTGATCAAAGCTGCCCAAACCATTACTACTGGTATTTAACAAAGGGAAAGTACGGCGATCGGTCTAAAAAATTTTCCACCAGATATATACATTTCTGGACTCGCGGGACCTTGAAACGTCGAGAAATGGAAACAATTCGGGTTTTTTTGTTCTGTATTTGCATGTTGGCAGGGACGGACCTAGATTTTTCGGATCCTAGAGCTTATCGAAGCTCAATGGGGCCCCATTTTTGTTAGATTAAAGAACCCCAAACGAGAATAGAAACAAAAAAGTTTTTTTAAAATTGACCATATATTTTTAGGGGAAATACAGTATATAAAACGAGATATCCAGAGGCATTACGCTTTTATAAAATTCTGCTATTATTCTTTACGGTATCTTCCATTCTTTATAAATTTGAAGCAGTAAGTAACTCACGAGTGGTCTAGTATAATTTAAAATAGAAGATAAATGTGAAATTCTGTTATTTTGTAGTTTGCTGAAATAATGCCAATTGTCATGTAGACTTCTCAACAGTCTCGCACATCGAACCAACTCATTTTCATATGAAATGGCATAAAAAGAAACTTACCTGGCAATCAGTTTTGAATCCATTCACAAAACAGGTAGAAATTTCTTCATAAATCATCTAAAATTTCTGAAATCGAGTAGAAAATTATTTCCTCTAAAATGTATTATTTTCTTTTCCTTATTGTTCCATAAAGGTTTGGTTGGCCTTGATCTTTACCATTACAGTCTTTGGATTAATATTCCGTAAATTCGTGAAAGACAATAAAGAGGAACCTTGGACTTTAAGGAGAACGTACTGGTATCTGATGACAACGTTAATGTATCAAGGTAAATCTAAACAATATACACTGTCTTCTAATTTATAATAGCGAATTATAATCTTTGACGTTAATTTTCAGGAGTCGACAGCAACAACGTCAATCGTTCATCTTCTAGAATAGCATTTGACATCTGGTGGCTTGTGATAGCCATTTTGGTTTGGAGACACGCCGAAATATTGACGTTATTTATGGCCGTACAGATTGACGAACCGGTACCGAAAACATTCGACGAGTTAGCAGAAACTATTAAAAGAGAAGAGTATACCTGTAAAGTGCTTCCAGGTGGATACTTCAGTCGTTATTTTAGTGTAAATAATACGTTAACTTTTTACTAGTTTGTTTTTGCTTTATATATTTTGAAGTATAGAAACATCTATTAAACTTATTTTCTATTGTATAGATATTAAGATAAAAATATATTTAGATTTTATTCTGTGTATAGTGTATGATGTTTTTGGGAAATTTCAATTGTGTTTTTCACATTATATAGTACAAAAGAAAATAACAGTTAGACCCCGCTTAACGCAGATTCGATATAACGCGGTCTGCTCGAAGCCTTAAAAAAGCTCAAAATTTACGCCGATTCAAATTATCGCGGCATTTTATCGATTCGTATATAATACGATTCTTCCCAGACACGAACCAATCAGCAAAAAGTGACAATTCGTCAAAGCGCCGTACTTCCCTTAAATCTATGTTTGTTTGGTGCAATTTTGGAAAAAAAAATATAACGTCGCGGATGCCATAGACAATATCGACTCGGCTCGGCAAGAATTAACTACTGTAATAAATGCGTGAACAGTATGTGGAAGAAGTTATGGACTAAGTTATCCAAGAATTTTCGACGAGAAGAGCCTATCGCTGTATCGTTAGGTCCACCAAATTGTCAACCTAATCGATGCAGTAGGACTAACAGATGTAAACGAACAGGATATTGAGGAGTTACCGCGGGTTTCTGGCAACGGCCTTACCAACGACCACCTTCGAGAACCGGCAGAACAGGGAATCGGCGTAGAACTGCAAAACTGTGATTCCGAAAACGAAGACCCAAAAAATTTCTCTACAGATTTCCTTAGTAAAAGTTTGGTAACGATAACCGAAATCGTCGATCAAACTGTAGCGAACGATCCAGATTTTGAAAGGAGTGAAAAAGTAAGACGAGGCGTTTTGGATTCGATCTCTTGCTACCGACATTTGCTTAAGGAATGAAAAAAGAGACAAATGATACTATACGACTTTATCGCAAAATAGCCAGGACCTTCTTCTCCAAAAACGAACTTTGCATTTCTGTGTGCATGTGTTTATGTGTTATTTAACATATATTATTATGTAAATTAGGCATAATATCAAAATAACTTAAAAGTAAAATCTGTTCATTTTTGGTCGCGTATTGCTCTTTCCATATTTACTCTGTGTTTATCACATTAAGAAAAAGTATAGCAACGAGAGTTGCGTAACTTTTCCGGCTGTTACGAGTTTTTATCAAAAAACTTTTATATTATTAAATTAAGCAAAAATAAAATTGTGTGTGGCGCCATCTCTTATCAAATTTTGTAATAAAAACTTTTTATATTTTCAATTACTATAAAATGGCAAAAAGCTTAATTTCGAAAGTAGAGGTAAATTTTATATAAAAAGAAGTGTAGACGTTAATTATTAACAAGTAAAATCTTCATTAAGTCTGACCATATTGGAGATACACACGATCCTCTTTATCTCCCCACTTCCTCGACCCGTAACCACCAAAATTTAATACCATCAATGCCCATCGTGTACAAGTTACCACGCCAAATTTCGTTACTTAATCTTTACCCCATGCTGCGATATTAAAGCTAAATAGACTCCAATAAACACACAAATATCCACGGAAGTTTTTGCTGTTTTTTTTTTTGTTTTTTTACTTTTTTAGTACGTGGATATTTGCAACGCGCTGTAAAATATAAAACAACGAAAGAGAATTGTAAAATTAATAACGAAAGAACTTTACTCAAAATTTAGAAAGGCTTCTTACTCAACAACAGTTAAAGTTACGTAAGCAAAACACCTACACTCGACACTAGAATAACCTTGCACAAGGTTAAACGTGGGAAAAGGAGAGCGACGTCTACCGGCCAGCGGTTGCCATAGAGTTAATGGCGGCCACCATGCCGACGTAAACAAACAAGCGGAATGCCAACATAGGTTATCGTTCGTTTTAAAGAATAAATCGAATATAATTCGATGCAATCAGTAATTTATTCGATCGTCCGTTTATTCAGAATAATAATAATGCAACATTTTATAAGAGACGTGACATCTTAGCATAAATTGGTGGGAAATCGGGCCGCCAAGGTGATGTTCGGCAATCTCTTTCAAGAAAATAACAGAATGAAGAGTGCCAAAAGAGTGCCTCCACCCAGATCTGTTTACGGATTAAGTGGAATCGAAAATCAGGGTGCAACTTGTTATTTGAATACCTTGTTACAGACTCTTTTATTAACTCCGGAATTCAGGGGTAAGTCTCATAAGTATAATTACAGTACACCTCCGAATCAGACGGTCGGCAAATTATCACACTCGTAGGTGCTAAAAGGTCAAAGGAACCACGCGTTTACGCGTCACCCTTTGCCAGATATGGCCACCCCTAGTGTCGAGTCGTGCGCCGTGGCCGGTTGTGGTTCCTTTGACTTTTTTGCTCCCGCAGGTGGTTCTCCAATTCTGGGTTGGGTGGAAAACCTCTCATTTTGAGTTTGCCTCTTACCGTATTGATCTCGTGGGTGACGAAACGTAGAGGTAAAGTTTTGTCCGTGCTGCGGGTCGTCGACGTTTAGAATCCTCGATAATGTCCGAGACGTTTCTGGTAGGCGAAAACGCGGATCAGATACGTTGGTTTGTTGGTGGTGGCATTTTTATGTACGAGCTCCCTACCGAATTTTTGCCGGTTTTGTTTGGATGGTTTTCCGGATCGGTCAAAATTACAAAAGATTATCCCCCGGAACACAAATGCGGCTTTGGATGAGGTGGTTAGACTTTGTCGGAGCTGTGGACGGTTCTCGTAGGAGTAAAACGAGCAAAAGGATTCGAAGGGAACCTTTGCCACGTATAGTGGTGTGGTATATAGTGTGTAGATAAACCCCGGTCGTTTGTTTGCAAGCTTGCCGGTTATTATTCTCTTGATTCCTGTGGCCGATATTGTTTTGCCCGGTTTCGGTCGCCTTCGGTCTTTTAAGAAGTAAAGTAAATGTTATGAAAATGATGTCCGATAGAAAGTGGTTGTGATGGAGAAGCGGTGGTGCACCGAAAATGGAGTTAAGGGACCCTGACACATTCCAAATAAAGAGAAAAAAGTATAAATTTTCCAAAAATCATTTTGCTCAATGGTTGCTTATAAATAATATTTTAAAGATAATTATTGGCCATTAGTTATTGTAGAGAAAGGATAAATTGTTTATGTAAGGCATGTCGATGGCTAGACTATGATGAAATTTGCTGCTGTGTTTTATTTATTCTGTCTGTATTGTAAAAGAATATTTGCATTTAATTTGGCATGTGATTATTTTGGATGATATCAAAATATTATAATGCATTTCAGTCATACTGTAATGCAAAAAATATTTCTTTTAAATTGTTTCTTTGTTTAATGCATTATTATATTATAAATAATTTAATTATTATTAATAATCTTATGGTTTTATATCATTTAAACTGATGTTTGATTTTCAGTATAATATACAAGAAAATAGAAAAAATGATAATTCATTAATGTTACACTTTATAAAATAGTGTGAAATAATAAACAGTATACATTTATTATAAACAGTACAGTATTCATGATCAACATTTTGAATATTTTTAAAGAACAGCATTTTCTTAGCAATTTGTTACTTTGCATTTTTTATTCTGACTAAGTGTGAAACAAATCTGAAAACTGGTTTTCTCATGAATATAACAACTTGTTAGTGTAGTAACTTGTATAACCGTCGAAACTAATAGTAGACGAACCTTAAAGATTGCTAACATTTTCGGCCCGGTTAACAGACCGTCTTTGGGTGTGGACGGTTGGAAGCCGAATTCTGTTTTAGGCTTTTACCGGTCTACTTTCTCACTGTCCTTGCCTAAGAAGGGCCGTTAACTGGGTCGACGACATTAGCATTCTTTAGACTTTACCCACCATTAAAGGTGTATCAATATGGTCGAGTAATTGCGGTGACTAGTTTGACTTTTTTTGTGTAACTGCTATGTCATTTCTCTTAATTAGGACACGATTGCGTTAGATAATTCTCCAAGAATTTGTTTTATAAATTTTTGCAAAAATTAAATTAAAATATAATTTGAGAAACTATTGATTATAAAAAAGAAGTTTATAAAAATTATAATAATAATAATTTTCTGAATGTCAGAAAAAGCAATTTATTTTTAAAAATTGAGAATAGTGAGCCAGAATTTTTTGACTTTGAATTTAATTTGAGCTGTATTTTTATATATTTGTTTGTCATCTTGAATGAGTATTGTGTTATAAAGATAATGTTGAATTTTAGACTTAGTTCAACAGAAATATATTTTTGTCACAAAAAAATTAAGATAAGATAATCTTTTATCAAACTTAATAATGTTAATGTTTATATATTTCAGAGTTTACTTAACTTTATTTAATTATGTTTGTTAATTTTTAAAGACTGAAATATTTTTGAGAGAATTGGAGTTAGATCCTTTAATCTAGATTGATGGAAACTCTTCCAAAATACATAAAACAAACCTTGTTTGAAGTTTAATACATAATTTTTGAGTATAGAATTCGAATGTGTTTGAACATGATATTTTGTTCACGTGCAAACATTATGAAACCTGATGTATTATTAATATGCCAAACTACTGCCGGATTAAATCGGGCTACTTTACAACAAGTTATTTAGAAATTAATTAAGCATAATAGCAGTTAAGTAGCCCAATTTAATTAATTTTGCTGTCATTTCATATGTCAATAATAATAATTTGTTTTTTTTAATGTAAAAAATATGCATGTACTAATCAAAATATCATTTGAATATGAAAAAGCAAAGAATCTTGCATTAAAGATAAAAGAAAATTTCTAGTAGATCTTACTTGTTACTAGTAATTATAAAGTAATGGAAGCTCAACAAATATTATAAGTTGACTAGGGAAGTGAAGGAACTTAACAAAAGAAAACTTTCAATGAACATGTTAATTAATTAATAATTTAATGATGTCAAGATCTCACTTGCTGCTGATCAGCACCATGTACTGCTTTAGCTGACTGGGTACTAAAGTTACACTTTATGTTTTCCATTTATTACAGAGTTTTTGGCATTTGTCTTTACCGCCGATATTAGACGTTGCCGTCGGTCTAAAATGGTGTGCAGCCATGCATTCTTTGAGTTATCGGAGATCTCGTTTCCAGTTGGGTTGTTTTCAAAGCTTTGTATATGGGTTTAGATGTTTTGTAATAGTGCTTAGATGAATCCTTTGTTGTAAATAATCATATCTTGTCAGCTTGGTGATATCAGTACTAATTAGTTTGCCATTTCTATCTAATTCAGAATGAAAATGGTCACTACACCAATTAACCAACTGCTATTGGTGATGAAAATGTCAACATGCAATTGGAACTTTACACTGAAATTTATACAGTAGGAAACTTTAGTTCCAAATAAGGAGATATGCACATATAGATGAACGCATAAATCTGATTTTAAAGAGTATCATTATTACTACTCTAAATAGGAGTATCATCGATACTTTAGATACAAAATGTGAACATTTTGAAGTTCACGTTGTGCAGTCAGAGGTTAATTCCACTCTTCAGCTCTGTGATAATATCATCTATCTCTTGAAAATGCAAATGAAAGCACACAAAATAAGACATAGAATAGTTTCCAGATCTTAAATTTTAAGTTAGGGAAATGCAGTCCGAAAGCTACTTTCGTTCAAACACAGATTGTATGAGTCTATGGAAGTCGGGACAGAAATAAATGGAATTTAAGAAAGTTTGACTTATCAACAGTCTATTGTGTAATAATAATTGATATTGTCTCTAAGTTTTAGTAAAGTAAAACAC